ATTTTGGAAAAAATAAAACTTAGGCTAATTTGGGAAAAATAAAACGGATTTCATAGGGCCCTACAAATATCATGCATCTGAAGCTGTAATTTTAATACTAAGCAACAGTGCATATTATATAGGGCCTATTTTAATTTTTTTAAATGGCGCTCACTCGTTTTTGTGAAAGACCCAAGAAGGACCATGCACAGTCACTTTCCACACAGGCACACTTCATGTTTGGTTGAAATAATCCTTAAGCATGTAAATTGATCATTTCCTTCAGTTTATTTAGCAATTAAAATAAAAAAATAAAAAATGTATATTTTAAAGTTAAGAATTAGACAGCCTTGCGTTGTGTAGACAATTGCATAGTGAAAATTACCCCAACTCACCACCTAGTGTCCAACCTACTCTAATACTATTATAACCGTTTAAATATGAACAAGGGATTTACAACATTAAAGAAATCATTTATTTATAACATGTACATGAAAAATCTAAAAGATTGGACACAACTATGGGACACGGTCGTGCAGCAGCAAGCAACAGTGAAAGAAACCTCAAGGTTGTAGATGTGTGAAATTGTATAGGGCCCCATTCCTGTATTTTGCCTGGGGCCCCCAAATCACTAAATCCGCCCCTGAATATGGAAACAATATATTTTACATTTATTGCAAAATATGCATTTATATAACATCTTTTGTAGTGCTTCATGGGAGTGGAGGGACACTAAAGAGTTATTTTGGTGCAAATTGCCTATTTTGATTTTCTACAAAGATTTCTTTGTAGAATCATGGGTAATGTAGTTTATCACTATGCATTTCAATGTTAAACATGATTGCTTAAAGCTGCAGTCTGTAACTTTTTTTTTGTGTTCAAAATGTATATAAGTGAGTACACCATGAATCCATTTTCCAAACCGTGTTTTTGGCTTATCCTGAATCACTAAGGTACACCTATAATAAGTGTTTAGATTTGGACTAGTTTAGACTGGTTCGGGTAGGCACCGCTGTGGAGTAGCCCAGTACCTGCGTGATTCATCATCGACATAAACAGAGAGAAGTAACTCCGGTTACAATGTTCTTCCGCAAGATGCATGCAGTTCTATTTATTAACCGCTAGACTGCCAAAAGTTACAGACTGCAGCTTTAAAAAAAAAAAAAAATGAGTTGGCACAATCTGGGCAGATGGTTTTAACACAAGCATATACAATTGATTACCAACCTTGTAGGTTTGTTTTAAAGGTTTATGAGATCTCGTTAAAAAACAGTTCCTCTGTGGAGAAAGTGAATGGGATTTCACGGCTATACAGCAGCTGTACTTTTTGCTTTTTTCCCTCATTGAAAAGTCTTAAATTCAATATTAAAAATTTGTGTTCCACACCTGTAAATGTGAAAAGGGTCCATCTGATCATTCTGCTTTATGGAGTTCTGTGTTCAAGTTTCTCTCTCACACACAGTTTTTTTTCCCCTCTTCCTCAATTTAGGGTGGAAGTGTGCTCAGTTCTCCCTTCCTCAAGGGCTTTTTGGCTGGGTATGTGGTGGCAAAGCTCCGCTCCTCTGCAGTCCTGGGAGTTCTTGTAGGAACCTGCACAGGCATCTATGCTGCTCAGAGCTATCAAGTGCCTAACGTTGAGCAGACCATAAAAAACTACTTCAGCTCATTTAAGAAGAGATAGAGGGAGCCAATATAACAATCTCAGAAATGGTGCCTCATTCAGAAACTTAAACCTGTACCTCAACTGAGCTGCCATTCATCAGACCACATAGAATAACTGGATGTATTTAGATGATAATTAAGCTTCTCAGCTTAGCAATTTTAGGTTATGTTTCTATTTAAAATTGGTTAGGTCCGTGCTGTTACAACAGCTTTTTTTGAAAGACGATATACACCTAAATTCCTTAAAATGGTACAAATGGCCAAAGCTTTATCAGTTCTTAATATGCTCAAAATGTTAATGTTCTGTCTGTTACATAAATATTTTTTCCAATGCCTTTTTTTTTTTTAATAGACGTTTGCACTAAACAGGTGAACAATCAGGCACAACACACTTTGTAAATGATGTCTGGCATTGAACAATTCCTGTACGTGTCAAATGTCAGAGATCGCTGGACTTGAGTTGCTGAAGCCTTTTATGTAGTTGTTGGATAAAATAATGTTGCACTTTATCACACTCAACCACTTCTGCTTTTAATTAAAATAATGGAAGTCAGCCTTTGGAAGTGAAATAGAAAACAGGAAGTAGCCAGGTTTGAGGATGAAAACTGATTTTCATGCAGTTGGTTTTCACATGGAGTGGTGTGCTTTTAAAGTGTAATCCATATCATAATGCATACTTTTTCTATGTAAAGAATTATTTCAAAAGAATAGTTTTGAATAATAGGAATTCTTTGCTTTATGCGAGTAAAGTTTTTCTTTGGCATGTCTTCTAATATCATTGCCATCATGTGATATATTTTTTTGGATAGATTCTTTTACATTCATTGCATGTGTTTTTCCAAGAATTTTTGAAAATGTTGTATTTGAATGAATAAAACCTTAAATTGGGTCTAGAAAATGTATGCTTAATTTTTAATAGGAAAAGTATAAGAGGCAAAGAGACAAATCCTTAAACGTGTTTTGAAATTTCAGACCATGATAAACAATCCAATATCGTTTAAGTAGGACAAAATCCCATATGCACTCCTCACATGCCATCAGAACTCTCTCAAATTCAAATGAGCTTTATATGCATGACTTTTACAGTATTGCCAAAGCATTGGCCATTACTTGAGCAATGAATAAAATCAAAACCAAATAAAAACCAATCAATCAATATTTAAGTAAATAAACAAATACATGTTTTAAAACAAGAAAATGATTAAGACAATAAAATAGAATATTTCAGACTTTAGTTTTCTCTGCTGGCTGATTTAGTTTGTGGCAAGCTGTTACATATTTTGCTGCTGCTGTTGTGATGAAGCTGGAGTGTTCTTCCAGTATATGCCTTACTTTTCTGGATTTTGTAATGCCATAAAATTAGGTGCAATTTGTTGAAATTTTGGGAAGTAGGCAGATGGGATGTTCTAATATAGTGATCATAGATCAGCAGTATTCTTCAGATTATCTCTTGAGAGCACGGTAAACACCGTCTCTGCTCTGGCGTCGATTAAATACTTCATCTTATAGAAAACAAAGGAAGAAGTTACTTTGCATGTTTGTGAAAGTTAGTTTGCCTCATATGTGAGCTGGGTGCGTTTTGAAGGTCTCAAGGCCAGGCTGTCTGACTGTGTAGGCCTTTATGACTTATGTGACTGCGCTTATGAATAGAGAATACAGAAGGAAGTTCCAGGTGAAAAAAAAGTGCAATAAAATACACTAAGTACACTTCAATAATGTACTTGAAAGTGTGAATTTTGGTACACATCTAAACACATATGAATGAATAATCCAATGATGTGCTATTAGTGTCAATGGAAATAACACAGGATTCAGATGAGAGTTCAGCATTAGAGGAAGCAGAGAGCAGCAGACAGAGATCATGATCTTGGGTGCAAGAGAAATAGTCCACTGGTAGCACGGTGACTGCAATGGGCACGAACAATCCAGGACCGGAACCAAGTAGAAATCCAACCGAAATGACAGCGAACAGTCCAGGGCTGCGTTTCCCAAAAGCATCGTAAGCCTAAGTACATTGTAGACCCATTGCCAACAATGGATCTACGATCAACTTAGGCTTACGATGCTTTCGGGAAACGCAGCCCAGAGCAGGAACGAGGAACAAGGCCAAAAAGATCAGCAGAGGTGCGCACACACACACACACAGAGAGAGAGAGAGAGACGGCGAACTGTGACAATTAGTGCAATTATAGTAGCCTAAGCACAGTAACCTATAGGCTTTTAATTAATTCATTTCTACTGTATTTCTCATGAAAATCCAAGAATGAATGTACTACAAATGTACTTGCTGGTATTTAAGTGTTTTTTTTAGTGCATTCAAGTATACTTTTTCACCTGGGGTACCAGAGATGGTAGACGCTAACAGGATGAGATAGATAATGTGTGTAAAACTCATTAAAATCCTAAAATGTATATGCGTCTGCAACCTTGGGCACCCGGAAAGTGGTAGCTAAGAGAAGTTGTCTTTTGAAAAACAGACTAGCAGATGGTTTTCTACAATGAAAGCAAGTGTTGGGAAATAATAATAAACAATTGTGGAAATTACTGAAATGACGTATTAAAAAATGGTCTGTACGCTAAGATAGTACGCTACGATGGTGACCGATAACGAAATAGTACAAAGATGGTAATCTGGACAGAGACAGATTCAGGTGTTCTGCAAACATTTCGGCTTTAAAGTTACAGGAATTTGTCTAAATCAGACACAGGGCACACAAGTAGTTAGTAATTCATTTTATTGTCCATCTTTGTTTGCTATCCATCATCAAATTTCAGCTATCCTTCTATATATTACTTATCTCTCGATCCATTTTACACTCACAATAAGAAGACATTAAAGGTTAGTTAAAAAAAGCAATAGTAAGCAATTGTACAATTCCATCAAGTGAAAGTTTTTCATAAAAGGTCAACACTGCTGAATCTACTATAGTCTGTAATAATTATCAGTACAATACAAAACAGTTAACTTTATTTTCCACTATTGTGACAGCAAAATACCTTAATCGACTATATATAAAGCTGTTTACCTCAAACCAAGCCATAAATGTTAAAGTAGAACTGTTAAAATTAAAGATAGCAGAAAATGCTATTTGTATTTGAACTGCTCTTCACTGCTCCGCTTCAGTGGCCATCTTTTCCCAGCAGAGGCTCTGCCACCACTGCATCAGCTAAAATAAGGAACAGTGAAGAATGATTTATATTAGAGTTATGTATCATATAACATCATTCAGGTGACTGCATTCATGAAGATGAAGGCAGTAACTCATAATATAGAAACAGTCATATAGGTGCATGCCAACCTTACTCTTAACTGGAAAATGACAAAAAAATTAAATAATTACTTAATTGTTGATTATTTCAGTTCTTTAAAGCAACTGCATGCATTTTTGTGTATTTAGTGAATTTGGAGACGCCTAAAGTTACGCGAGTGGATTTGTAAGTCGTAATTGCTGCTGTAAAGAAACCTCTCTTTTTTTGCAGAATTTTGTACCTGCTCTCCAAACTTAAATACCCCCAGAACAGACATTTGAGAAGTGTGGGAAAGAAACAGCAGCCGTTTGCTTTATTAGAAGTCAGTGTACCATAAGAATGCTTTTGAAACTGATATTTAAAAAAAAAAACTTACATACAGTTGCTTTACATTATGTGATACAATAAAAGGAAAGCTGTATTTATTTCTGAATATGTAGCACATTTGCTGATCTTGATCTTAATATAATTATTGTGAGTTGGTCATGCACGCCACAGAATAAATCAGCTTCCATGGCCTTTTATAACACAAATATTCAGTTCATACCAGAATTGAAGCCCTGACACTTAGCAGTGCCGTTGGTCAGGGAATCAGGCATCTCGATGCCGTTCTTGTCCACACACCAGCAAAAGTCAGTCTTGTCCCAGCACTGCTGAGCCAGATAGTCTCCGTTCTCATCACACCTGGGGCGGAAAGATGGCAGAAGACTCTTGACCTCCCCAGAAGCCTCCTTCTGGCACTGGGTGAGCTCTGTGGGACAGAAAATACATATATGTGTGAGCAAAAGACATAAAGCTGCTGAGAAATAACTGGATTCAAAACAGTAAGATCTTGATACCTGGTTTGGGATTTGAGGAAGAGGAATCCTGTTAAACAGAGCATAACGACAAATAAATAAATGAATGAGATGAGAAATCTGTAGATGGCAGGATTGATATTTTCCATATTTTTATATCTTAATTTTTTATTTTCATTTATCGCTTCCTGTTTTGATATTCATCATTTCTAAAGCAAAACCATTTCGTTTTCGGACTCAATCCTGACATCAAGTGGCTGCCTGCCCACATTAAAACACATTCAAGAGGAGAGGAAATGAGTTTTACCTTCTTCTCCTTGGGCTCTTCCTCATATGTCAGAGCGAGGGAGCTCATGGGGAGATGCATTTGCAAGGGGGCACGCATTACTGCACAAAAACAAAAACAAAAAAAGGGGAAGAAAGTCTGAATTATGCTTTCATTAGAGGACATCTGTGGTGATTTAAAAGGTAGTATGATGAGAAGCCCATGAAATCAATATTCGCTGACCAGACTTGCGGCTGATCTCCTGCAGGCGGTCACTGCGTCTCTCCAGGGTGTTGAGCTGCTCCTTCTGGCTGTATGCCATGTAGGCGGTGAAGGCCTGACCTGCGATCAGTATGCCAGCCAGCAGAGTCACTCCTGCCACCTTCAAGGCCTGATTGTTCGATCTGTTAGGAAATACACAGACCAGTGTATTCAAATTAGTGAAATGGTGGTGGTGGCAAAAAAAGAATATATATATTTTTAAGTCATCCTTTCAAAACTGTTGGGTGTCCTAAAATGGACAGAAAAGTTTTGGTTTACATTAAAAATAGTTGTCAAATATTCCGAGCTCTTAAAAGCACTAGAAAATCGAATAGAGTGTCTGGTATTTTAATCTGTACTGAATTATTAATCAGGTATGTAAGGTGATGTGTGATCATTTAAAATGGAAGAATATACACAGTTTGCACAAAACATATTTCAGAACACATAACACATATACAATACATAATTTTTCATTAAAATGTATTAGTTTAGTTTAGTTTTGAAATGAAACACTGACAGTGATGACTAAATATATAGTGATATATTATAAGTCACATATTACACATTTTTCTGCCTAATTATTGAAGAACTCACACAAAACAGCTCTTTACACTCAATCACTTTCCGTTTACCTGCATTTAACATATACAAGTGGGGGAAAAATAAATAAGATTTATCTATAAAACCAATTTAAAAAACGATGTTTCCTCACCTTCCGCGAGTTCCCATGTTGATTGAAGTTTGCTCACTTGGAGCTCTGATAAGTGGTGCATCGTTTCCGTCGGTGGACATTTCTGATCGATAGTCAGAAAAAACGTCTCAAAATTTAGTCAATTTGCTCAAGGGGTTTTTGTAACAGCGATCTAATATGAAAATATGAGAACTGAAGAGTCCAGCAGCGACACTCGGATGAAAGTGTCTGGAGCAGAGCGAGTTTATTATTTCATTGGTTATGACGGACTGCATCATCAGTTGTCAGACAAAAGTGAACTGGAATGCACCGTTTCTACGTTTCACCTGTTAATAAATCTTGTCAGTGTGCAAATGATTCAGTGGGTAGAAATAGGTTTTGTGAGATTTGTCTTTCAAAAATCTAAAATGCTTTTAAACAAGACCTTTTGTAATATACTTCTCAAATATACATGCGCAACAAAGTGATAAACAATGGCAGTACTTGCGTGTTGTTGTCAACGTAACAAGAGCTCGAGCGGCCTGTTACCGTGGTAACCTTTGCAGGAATATTGAAATACTTGCTGAAAATTTGTAATATCTAGCTTTTTTTCCCTCAGTAAAAATAACAGAATGCGTCGTGGTTGTTTCCCTAATACTAAAAACGCATATTAAAGGAATAGTTCACCCAAAAATGAAGATTCTGTCATCCTTTACTCTTTTTTTTTCCAAACCTGCATTAATTTCTTTGACGTTCACAAAAATAGATATTCTAGAAACATATTGGTAACCAAACAGTTGATGGTAGCCATTGAAAAAGCTACTATGGAAGTCAATGGCTGTTTGTTTAAAAACATTTTTGAAATATCTGTTCAACAGAAAAAATAAACTCATACAGGTAACATGAAGAGTAAACAGAATTTTTTAATTTTGGGGCGAACTATCCTTATGAAGTGCAGTGCTTTCACTTTCACTTATCTTGCCCAACATGAAATAAAATGCTCCAAAAAAAGTGAATAACAGCTTATGAAATTCTAGTTTATAGAACCATAAATGAGAAAAGTAACCAGATATTAAATCGGTTTACTTCAAATATAGTTTAGGTTTTGCCATTTTTCTTTTAAACTTCTACACAACTTGTCAATAACCAGCTAGAATTGCGAGTGTCTTCAGTGTCTGCACAGGGTGAAATACTTCAATGAGGAAATTAACTGTTCTGGTATAATCTGAATGAGGATGTTTTCTTGGTATTCCCCTAGCATTCATTCATTTGGTTTTAAAATAAACTAAAACACATCAGATACATCAAACCGGTTAGACGTGTAATCAGCTTAAAGGCAGCTGAACAGTCGAGAACCTAAGCTTTTGGCACTGCTATCATAAGAAATCATTGCAATGAAGACAGGAGGCAAAAGTATCATTTGACGTTTTATTCGGAGAAAAATCCAATAGTTTACAGACGACGTCCACGTCGACCTCCCTTTCTGCGGGTGCTGTCCGATGGAATGGGGGTGACGTCCTCTGTAGAAGAAAATGAAAGTGAATGAGACTTCCTCATAAAACAAGTTTACACTGAACAGACATCAGGCATCATTAGATGGCAGTGCTAGTGCTAACATACCGATACGGCCAATCTTCATGCCAGAACGAGCCAGAGCCCTGAGCGCAGACTGTGCCCCTGGTCCAGGTGTCTTGGTTCTTAAGGTGGGGGGGAAGAGCAAGTAAATCATGATGCAAGCTCATACGTTCTTCTCATAAACTCATACCCAGTGTCATGAACATTATATTTGAGCTCTTGTCTGTAAATGTGTTATGCATTCAGGGCCTCACACCTGTTTCCACCAGTGGCCCTCAGCTTGATGTGCAGAGCGGTGATGCCCAGCTCCTTGCACCTCTGAGCCACATCCTGAGCCGCCAACATAGCAGCATAAGGAGAGGACTCGTCTCTGTCGGCCTTCACCTTCATCCCACCAGTAACACGGCAGATTGTTTCTCTGAAGATCAAGAGGAAGGAAAACTCATTCAGAAGATGATCACCATCCGAATGTAAAATGACAAACATCACCTGAAAAGAATTTGTTCGCCCAAATATGACGTCTTTTTTTTTTTTTTTTTTTCATGAAACAGAAATGCATTTAAGAAAATCATGGGCACTATTTAAAATTAAATTACTCCAAGAAATAAAACTGCCAGTACAACTTGCATGCTATGTAGCAGTTCTTCAGAAACGAAAAGTTTAGTTGTTGACAGCCAATTTTTTGTTCTTTCTAAAATTAAATGTTAAAACGTGGAAACTACAAGTTATGCGTCTCATATGCAAAAGTCATCGACGTAAGACCTGATAAAATCCATCTAATAGCCACGTTGAATTAGATATGAATTATTAGTGAATGTAGTTCAACAGTAGGTCCAGAAGTAAAAATTCCATTTATTTTCTCCATAGGGGGATCAAAGGTTTAACAGTGGAACTCCTGAGGATAAACCACATTACCCATGATTCTGCACAAAAAACATCCAATCAAAAAATCCCGACAAGCAAATCAAGCAAAATCATTTCAGAACTCACCCACACCCTTGAAGTACTATGAAGGACAATCTCCCTATGCTCCCAAAACTAAATTTGTATATACATATTTGACAAAAAAAAAAAGCTAAATATATCGTCTCTATAGACATAGCTAGCAACCATATATACATTTTTATATTTATGTATTTTTTTATTTCATTGTATCATTTGCACTACTTAAATGGACATGAGCTGTTTACAGTTTACAAGTATACATTCTTACACCTGTTTTTTCGTTTGATTTCCAAATACTTTTGTGATCCAAATCAATATTTTTGTAATGTTGTGATTCACCTCACAGCTGGTTGGTTTTTGTTCATGGATTTTAAAGGCACAATATGTAAGTTTTCGCCACTAGAGGGTGCATATTCAAAAGAAAAAGGCGTAGTTAGATGACGCCGTGACTGAGTGTGGAATCATGGGAGTTGTCGTCTTCATCCCCACAGCCGATGCAATCCGACGGGACTCGGGCAGAAATCATGTTCATGGATGAGCTAATGATTTATTAACGTAGTAGAATGAAGCAGGGTGAGGCTGAAAGCCGTCGAAGCGAAACGAGGCCGCTGAACGAGCACGACACACGGCTCGAAAGCAGCGGAGCTTTTATTATGCCACAGTCGACCGCTTCCGCTCCTTCCGGAAAGCAGCGGAAGTAAGCAGCGCTGTTTTATCATACTAGATACATTTGAACGTTCTGTTTTAATGCTAAAAAATATATATATATAGACATGGTCCGTGTCACTAGTTAAAATTGCTTATTTCTCTGGATTTAAACATTCTTCGAAACATTTGGGAAAATGTACGTACACAAGTCAGCAAAATATATAACTCTGTTCTAGTAGTTTTTGGATATTTTAATAAAAAAATCTTACATATTGTGCCTTTAAGTCCTAAAAGATGACTTTTTAAAAATATTTATTGGAAAAATCCCGAAGTCCAATGAAAGAGAGGGCAGACACAGTTACACTCTATAACTTACATTTTAGGGTGCTTTCACACTAGCACTTTTGGTGCGCACCCGGGTTCGATTGACGTCAGAGTTCGGTACGTTTGGATGATGTAAATGCGGTCTTCCGAACTCGAGTGTGCACCCGCGAACAGTATGTGGAAACAAAACCAATGGTTCAAAAGCATAAATATAAAATTGAAGAGAGCAATGCTATGCATTTTGCCGTCTTCTCCTGTGCCATAGTTACTAAGCAACGGGGTAAACAGCTGCTGGCTTGATGATGCAAATGAACCGCGGTTCGGACCTAAATAATATAATGTGAACACAGTCCAGCAGGGGGAGGGGGGAGCAATCGAACTCGGGTTCGGACCAAGCATCGAACCAAGTGTGAAAGCACCCTTAGTTTGGTCATCACACAAAGCTAATAATAAAGTACAAACTATTTTATAACGCCATATTTTGGAGCTTGACAGATTCAGTACACTTTCAATTATGAGGAAAACCATTATTATTTGAAGAAATATTTTTTGGTGAAAATGACAGGCAAGTGAAACACTATAAACGTTTAGCGCAATACGGAAAAACGCAGCATGTGGAATCAAGGCAAAATTTGAATTGAAATCATTGTAGTATCTGACACTTTACTGTGCAAATTAAAAATCTTACTTCATTTGTTTTGCTGGTATTTGTGCTTTTCATGTGCATAGAGATTTTTCTCCATGTTCTTGCGGTACTTACTTGCCAGAGAGGTCAGTGACGTGGACAAAGGTGTCGTTGAAGGATGCAAAGATGTGACAGACTCCAAACACATTCTCGCCTTCTGCAACCTGAGGTCCCAGGCTGATGACCTGCTCTTCCTTCTTTTCCTTACCCTTGCGAGGTGCCATTGCTGAAAAACAACATTCAACAGTTGGGTCAACTTCACATGAAAATCATCTAGGGATTAATGATAATTAACTCGGAGTTCTATAAATGAAGTTAAACAGCTTTAACTTCTCTAAACAACATGCTCTTCTAAATCATTTGACGGAAAATAGGACTTGCATCTTCTAGCAAACATGCTGGGGCCAGTTGCATAAACTGCTTAGACTAGTCTTAAAGGGGTCATATGATGCGATTTAAATGTTTCCTTTCTCTTTGGAGTGTTACAAGCTCTTGGTGCATAAAGAAGATCTGTAAAGTTGCAAAGACTAAAGTCTTAAATCCAAAGAGATATTCTTTATAAAAGTCAAGTCAACCACGCCTACCTAAAACGGCTCGTTCTAACACGCCCCCACATATCTACGTCACTATGTGGGAAGATTTGCATAACGCCGCCCAAATGTTCACACAAAGAAAGAAGGCGTAACTTTTATTTTCGCTGTAGTATTGTTGCCGCCGCCATGTCGTGAAGAGCTGTGTGTTTCGTTGTGAAAGCGAAACTACTTTGTTTGGTCTTCCAAAAGAGGATAGCCGCTTCGTCATGCCTGGAGCTGATCCATGCTGGTCGCTGAGGGATAGGGATGTAACGGTATGAAAATTTCTTATCACGGTTATAGTGACCAACATTATCACGGTTATCAGTATTATCACGGTATTGTTAAAATGTGCTGGAGATGTTCAAAAACTACCGACACAAATCACTTCAAGTTTTATATTTGAAAATCAATAAACAAATAAAAATTACTTTTTGTTTGCATAATCACTAAAACAATAACATTACCAATGATGTTCGGATTTTAAATGACAACTTGACTGACAAGTTT